GAACCATTTTGCGCCAACCAAACAATTTTATGATTGTTACTGCATTTTACCTTCGTCAATTTAAATTTTAAAAAGAGAATTATTTAAACTTTTCCGAAATTAATCTTGCGTTTGTTGCTCAGCAAAGGTTTAGCTTGAAAGTGCATTTATGTTACACTATAATTTCTCCGTTATAAATTAACTAACTAGCATCTGATTCAAACTTTCGACGGTGCAGCAATCATGCAGCATGTTTATTAAAAATAAGATAAGGAACACTGTAATGTTTTTACAAAATTGTTTATTGCCTCGACAATATTGTTTTGACAAATTCCAAAATTATTACTTAATTATTAAGTAATATGTGTAACTAGGATTTACACCTAATTGCAAGGGGAGATAGATAGGATCTGTACAGAATAGAATTGTAACGGATATCGACATCCGCAACAGTGGATGATCCGCATAAAGAATGTTAATATACGCACCCTTGTCCGCATCCGCAAAAGTTGAATTATTGAAAATTCGCATTTTGATCCAGATCCGCACGTTCTGATGAGGTCATTTAGGGATCTTTGTTACACTATAATGCTGCAATATGTTGCTATTAAACAAATGTTTTATGTTTTGTGATTGTTTATGCATTAAAATGAATAAAGTAGGTAGAAAGCCATCTTTTCTTTATTTGAAATTGGACTGGAAATCTCAAAATGTATGAAAATAAAAGGATTGAATAACACTTACAATTCTACTAAGTATTTTCGGAGAAAAACGAAATATCCATATCGGCATTGATATCCTCATCCGCATCCGCAAATCTAGAATTGCAATGATCCACACCAGCAAGTTTAACTTCATTAAAGAAAGATTATTAAAGGTGTTCCTATATCTGGAGCGCGGCGCTGTACGGGTGCGAAATATGGACGGTGAGCCCAGCGCAAAAGAAAAGATTAGAAACGTTCGACATGTGGTGTTACCGGTGAACAGTGAGGATACCGTGTATAGAGAAGATTAGAAATAAAGATGTATTAAAGAAAATAGGACAACGCAGGAAGACAGAGGAAATAAGCGAGATAGGTGACTAGGACATCTTCTCAGGACTGAAGGTCCAGTCAGAGACATATTAGAGGAAGAAACAGGAGTTAAGAGAAGTAGAGGTAGACCTAGATTAGATTACTTTTCGCAAATAGTTAAGGATGTGAGATGTTCTGGTTTCAGGTAAATGCGAATGTTAGTTCAGGATAGGAAAGAGTGGAGGTACGTGTCCAACCAATCTTACCACTGACGACCTTATGATGATGAGATATACGCAAACCTAGTACGGTTCATATTTAGGAAGATTAGGTGTATAGGTACATACGTATATTTATATGGAAGGCCTTCTCTAATTATTGAATTTAATGGACATTATTATCATATTCAAGTTCCAAATTCATTGCCGTAAGCCTAGGGCGTTTATCTTCACATCAGTTAACAAATTAGGGTTTACGCTTACTTCCAAAGAGCCTAAGGCACTTTGCTTATTTCGAAACGCTTTCAAAAGTTTTAGTATGTAGGTACAATAATAAAACGTTTTATCAGAAATATTGCGAACATCGAAATTTATACGATATATATTACCTTCCAAAAGATGGAAAACGGTGCTTAAAAATTGAATTTACACATACGTACTAATACTGTTCTTATCTATATATGCATTACTATAATAACTCATTTTTTGTTATTATTCAAAATATTTAAAAACTGTGTCATAGATTTTGATACATATAACAATTAAAAATATTTTTACGATTGCTAGAAATATAAAGCTAGAAGTTTAAAATATGTATGTTCATATTTGTGCATGATGTCTACCAAGAATTGATGGATATTAGGTCTTGATGGGTTTATATATACCTAATATTTTTGACTTTTATAAAGAAATAAAATAATCAAGTCTTATAAATGCTTTCATTTTCAGGATACTTACATCTGTTGATTTACGACATCCACACCTTTGTACAAAAGAATTAAAGAATTGCAGACATCTCTTCCCTTACTTTATAAGACTTTTCAAATTTTCAGTAAATATTAAATATACCACAACTTAATGACAAAAGGTAGGCACTTCATGCAAAAGAAGTAATGGTAATAAACCACTCATTTCTTTCTTATGCTAAAAATTCATTAATAAATTCATGGCACTACTGAAACACTTGACTTTTTAATCTAAAAGTAGAAAAATTGTTTTTAAAATTTGCCTTTCTAATTAATCTTTCATCTGTCTCGTACCATCCGATCTTTTCTTTTACATAAGGGCGATCGTCATAAGAGTGAAAATGCTCGAAACAATAAAACCCCAGCACCTTAATGCGGGTTAACCCTATCCACCAAAATAAATTCTATAATAATCCGACTTGCTATTCAAAAAGGCACATTTTTAAGTACAAAATGGTGCTTTTTATTTAACCGTAAAATCCCATTCATGGTCAAAACAGCAAAAGCTGAAAGTCGAACTTAAAAAGGGTTCATTTTATGAAAAAAACAAAGGACGGTAATGAGTACTTGTGACCGAAAAATATCTAAATGAAAAGTAGAATAGGACGCCCTCGATACTGAAAATACCGTCACCAATTGATAACAAAGTGCTTGTTATCGTACTTGAGTACTTTCAGGTATATATGTACCTATTCGCATTCGAATATTTTATAATATCTATAAACAAAGATAAAATGAAGTTAAAATAGGTAAATTAATAATTCTAAAGAAAGAAGATCATGCAACTCTTAAGTCAAGGGCTGCATAATAGGTATAACGTCCCTGTTATAAGCATTAAATCCCGGTTCTCGGTCATTAAAGCAGTTGTCTCGGTTTGATAGTTAAGTATTAATATTTAATTAAGAAAGCCACCTACAGTAGTAAATGGTTCATCAATATAATATGAAAAATTTTTGTACTTAAAATAATTTATTAAATGAGAAACGTTCGATAAGTAGAAATTTAAAGACGTAAAAGAAATATAGATGTACTTCTTTAAAAAAAATAAAATAAAAGAACAAGAAAGAAAGATAAACCTTCTCAAGATCTGTCAATATTTCTTTGCAGTCCGCGGTCACAATGCTCATGGGAACGGATGTTTCCGTTTATCTCGTCGCGATAGGTGCAAGAACGAAATTTACTCATTTTCAGTGTAGACAGAGCGGAAAGGGTCATTCACAGAATGTCTTTATAATTACAAAATGACGTGCACAGAATTTATAAAAAAAGAAGTTATCTACTAAAAGAAGTCAATACTTCATAAAAGTATGAATGGGCAAATAAACGTAGCACCAAGAACGTAGCGTAAGCCTGAGAAAACTGGGATGTTTTTAGATAGATATTCATGATTAATTTTTCGCATTTAGTTTTGTAGAACAAACAAAATAGCTTAAAACTCAAACGCCAAAAACACAACACTACTATTTTGTTTGTTCTACAACAGCCGCCAAAGTTTTTCCAATCTCCATATTTCATTTAGTTTTAGTAAATATCTACCAAAAATGAAAAGTAAAAGTTCCAAAGTTCAATCCTAAATGTAAAAGAATCAAATTTCAGTATCTTTTATTAAGTTTCTACAAAATTAATCGAACTGGTGCTGTCCTAATTCTCATCTGAAGGTCGTTGTCGCCTGAAGTTGCTTCCTAACGTTTCGCTAACACGAATAGTGAGCTTCTTCAGAGTTCCTTCTATCAGGACAACATCGGTTCATATGCTGGTCACGAAATCCTTTACCAATTTATCAAAATTAATTGAGTTTTTGAATTATCCATCTTGGTTTAGTTATACCATTCCTAAAGCGAATGTCCCGGCTGGCGTTTCAGCCCTATCGTAAGTCCGTAACATTTTCAGTCAATCACAGAAGGACGGCAAGTAGAAAAAGAATCCTATTGTATGAGCCAAGAGTGAGCCATACCATTGCAATTTTTAATTTCCATCTAAACCAAAACGCGCCTAGCCAGAATACGTAAAAAATGTCTCAAACCGTATGTTTAGGTTCTCTCCTGATACGTATGCGTCCCTAGGCCAAGAAGCAAAATTTCTTGGGTAGGTAATGTAGTTTATACTTATCATGTTCATAGGAAGATAAATCTCAAAACCTCTCGACTTAAGTAAAATAGACAAGTAATAGACATTTTTGTACCATTAAATAAAAACACCGCAACTTTCAGTATTTTTAAATTTGCCCACTCTGCCCCACCCATAACTACGTCCCTGGTCAGACGTTAAATGTTCAGAAAGACATCATTTTGTACGCTTTATTAAACAATAAAACTGGAAAGTGGGTTATATAAAAAGCAATAACATAAATATAAACCGTTTAATAACATAAAATTCTGCAATCTGCAGGATCATTTTAATAAATCGGTTCGAAATGATGTTCATTAAATAAATAATTAATTACAAAATAAAATGTCTATGTATATCATAAATTCAGAACCATTGTAGAAATACGTATACACAAATACAAAACAAGAAATTCTAAAAAATTATTAGATACACATTGTTTTTAATATGTACCTAGATGATGTAATGATGAGTATATCTTAAAAAAGTTTTTTAATGTTTTTGAAAAATCTTCATAGCTGCAAATCCTGTAAAAAAAAATGAAGAAAGACTTTTTGTAACTGATCATTCATTTTTATTAATATTTTTTTCACGCAGCATATAATAAAAGTTCTATAATCTAGAAGAATAAAAAACTAATGTTAAACGATGTGCGTTACTAACTGTAAGCACAATTTAATGCTCCGTGATAAATGTATTAATATAGGTTGCAGATTTACAACAAAGGGCTATACGATCAGTATTTCTTGTAATGTCCATCAATAAAGGCTTTTTTACCATTTAAAAAAAATCTAAAGCATTTATTTTTCATGACAGTTAGCGGCATCTATTAAACTAAAAATGAATACGTGAAGTAAGTGTTTGTTCTGCAGCACAAAAAGAAGAAAATTCACTGTTATTTATAGATCACTGTTTATAAATAATCTGTCAGAGTATTGTCAGAGTCACGTCAAAATTATGTCAACTCATACTAAACATTACTGTTAATCGTTTTTGGGTACAAAATAAAACAAAATTGCAGACACTTATCTATATTAAACCAGCATTAGCATCAGAGAAGATAGTTGCATATTGTTTTCGTTAAATCAGATTGAATTGCACAATATTTTTTAACAACTGCTGAATTGAAAACATGGGTAAGTTAATTCTAAAACACTTTAATCGTAAGTTTGCTGGATATTGTGTGTATTTATTTTTATTTTTTCATATAGCTCACATGCCTTACAAAATGAGTTATAACTTCGAAGGCGAATGTCGAAGAAGGCCTGAGCAAAATCTTTCAGGTGCAAGTAAAAATGAGAGTCGAGATACTCTACTACAAAGAGCACATCAAGAAAGACAAAAAAGACAGGTTTGTTTTACTATACTTGAGCTATTTTTGTGTTAATGACAATTAATTTTAGGAACAACGTTTGAAGTTGAAAAGTACCCTCATTCTTCAGTCTTATATTAGGAGTTATTTAGTACGTAAACATAAAAAACAGGAAGAAAGAATAAATTTTCATCAGAGTGAAAGTGTTCTGAATATCAAACCTTTATTGGGGAGGCTATTATTCTTCTACAATTCTAAAATTGATAGTGACTGTTTGGTAAATTAAACTACAAGTTTGTATGATATTCTGGTTTCAAAATTTAATTTTAGGTCAAAGCATGCCAGATATTGCTAGATCAACATTTACAATTAGTACAACAAATGGATGCTGATAATTCATTAAATTGGTCAATAAAAAGGACATTGGCTTTATGTATAAAAGAAATGGATGATAACCCATTAACAGATCTATTTTTACATTTTATAGATACCTATACTGCAAATACAAATTCTGTATCAAAGATTGACATATGGCCTTACTTAATTAGTAAAGGTGAGCAAACAAATTTCACTTAAATTATCATCGTGTATCTCATATTTGAGAAAATGTTAAACTTTGGAAATTTAGCATATAAAGTGAGGTATTTAAAAAAAATCTTTGCAGGTTACTTTACTAAACTAAGATATCTGTTGGAATGCAGAACAGAGCAATTAGAAATTATTTTGAAGCTAATTCATCGACCACTCCTATATGTAAATTCTCTACCATCTCAAAAACAATCAGAAGACATTTGGTCTATGTTTTGTAACAGTTTCTTATCTGCCACAATTACAACACAAATAAAAGATATTCTTATTCCATATTTGAAAAGTGTAAACTTTCCATATGATGATTTTGTTAAATTTCTTTATGGAAGTCAGCGCTGTAATATGGGAAATGCACTACTTTATTGCTTCTTAGTTCTTGAGTCTCCTGGTTTTGGTATGTACAACAATATTTATTAAATAATTCATTGAATTGACTTCTGTTTAGTAGTAGCTTATTTAGAATAAGTTACAAACTCTGCTAAATATTTTTAAACTACAGCAACTAGTTTTAATTAATCTTAATTTACTCATTTGCTTAAATTAATATTTGATTTAATTATCTAGAGCCAACAAAGAAGAGTATAAAGGTATTGTCACTTCTTAGTGCAAACTTGCATCAACTTGCACCTAAAGAAAATTACAATATGGACTATGATAGTGATGAAGAAGATGAAATTATGGAGATTTCAGATGAACCAATTACTTTGCAAGATTACATTCACCTTTTAAATAATTCAGACAGAGTGAGAAAGATTTATACGTATTTTGAAGACCATGTAAATGATGAGGAAGTAATACTTTCTCTGACAAACTTGTCGCAAGATCTTCTGCTATTTTGTAAAGATGCTATTAAGAAATTTGCGTAAGTAATACAAATTGTGTTTAATAGGCATGTTCTTAACATACTTTTTTATTATACAGTCTTGTTTTTATGTTGGCCTTGAAAGGTACATTTTTAAACATACTGTGGCAATGGATTAAGACAAATCAGTCAGCAGTTTATCAGTCAAGCAATGGACTTTTAGATTTCTGGAAAGACATACATACTGCAATATCTGTATTTTGTAGCATGTTTATTGTATATACAGATACATTACTAGATACTGGTAAGTGAAATAAGTAGCAGTAAAAAAAAAAATGAAATTTATGCAGGACATTAATTGTTTTTAGAAACATCAGATACATGTGGTATTTTTAATTCATCAGACTTATGTTGTATGTCAGAGATGCTCAAAAATATGTCAATTACATTAATTGAAATGGCATATCCATTATGTAGAACTACAGTAAGTACTACATACCTAAGTAAGAAATAAAATGGTTTTACAATAGAATTTTATTTCTCAGGGAAACATATCACCAGCAATTCTTCATCTCTATAATACATGTTTAAGCTCAGNTGTAATGTATTTTTAGGAACTAAATCCACAATTTTGTATTCAGTCCTCTGAAGAAGATCGAATGCCAACTGCTAGTACATGTTTAAATCTTTTGAAACTTCCAATTATTAGAGATGAAGAAACTTTAACTGCAAAAGTTTTAGCAGCTATTGAACAACAGGCTGGTTTTGAATTATCTTAATTTATTATGTTTTTCAATTTTGTTGACTATAACTTCTCATTTTACTGTTTTATTCAATTGTATAAAAGTTTATTGATTTATTTTTAAATAAAATGATAGTAACTTATAATGTGTACCCTATTTATCTATAGCACGACATTTAGAGGTTGAATTTAAAAAATCCTTTCCTAGTGCTCGGCTACATTGTACAAGGAACATCTGTGTAAAATTTGAAATATATACCCATGGACAGGGTGTGCGTTAATTAGTTAACAATGTAAACCCAGTAAATAATATATACTCATCTTCTTTAGTATTTCCTGCAATATCCTCAATTTGATGACCATCTTCAATCATGTAAGCACTGGTGGTCTTGTATTATTTGATATTTGAGCTCCTATGGCCTACGCGATGCTTATATTTATATTAAAGCTTATTACTTAATATTATATTGTACTGGACCCCTCTCTTTGCTTTCACAGTACTGTGATAAGTATTAACAGTTTACGGTTAGTCAAAACTTTTAACTTAGGTAAAAGATTGTTCACTGTGTTTGTTTGTAGAAAATCACAATAAATGGCAAACTTTAAACTGGTATTTACTTTTGATAAGTTACTACAGACAATGTACAGCTATTAATTTTTAATAATTTTCTATTATCAACTGTAGCGTAAACGTAAATACTGCCAATATGATATCATCCTTCTTTTAACTTTTTTAATATTTTGAAAATAAAGCATTTCCAGAAGTATAACTTGCTAAAACGAATATGCCGTACATCTTTAGAGATAATTATTAATGTACTTGAAAATTAAACATGATTTTTATATTACAGAAGAAAATCAACCACCGTTGTTAACAATTGAACAGCGATCTTTAGCATTTTTACAAACACTACCATTTCTGGTAGAATTTAACAACAGAGTTTTGCTTTTGAATTATCTCTGTTTAAATAATTTACGGGAGGATATGAGATTACAACGTGAATTTTTATCAGAAACCCCAATTGTCATAAGGCGGGCCTATTTGTACGAAGATGCCTTTGAAAAACTATCAAGAGAAAACGGTAATACATTATCGCGTATAGTTGTGTGGGAAGAATTAAACAAAATTTTTTAATTTATAGAATCAGATTTAAGACACAAGATAAGAATCCAATTCATCAATAATGTAGGACTTGAAGAAGCTGGAATAGATGGTGGTGGAATTTTTAAAGAGTTCATTAACGAAGTTTTAAAAACCGCATTTGATCCAAATCGAGGATTCTTCCTACTAACAAATGACAATACGTTGTATCCAAATCCAAATGTTCATTTAATTGTTGAAAACTTCGAAGAACATTACTATTTCATAGGGAGGCTTGTGGGAAAAGTATAAGTCATTCGATTTTTAAATCACAAGATTCTAAAATAAAAACTGTTTTAGGCAATTTTTGAAAATATTTTGGTGGATTTACCGTTGGCCGAATTCTTTCTAGCGAAAATTTTGGTCGACAAAGCGAGTGCTCATTATTTAAAATCATTGGATCTTGTGCTCTATAGGAATTTACTATATTTAAAAGATTTTACGGGAGACGTTCAAGATCTTGGTTTAGATTTCACTACTATAAATAGCGATTTAGGGGAAACCAAGGTTTGTATTTGTTTTTATAAACACCGCATTGCATTACACTTTTATTATTTCAGTTTGATTAACTTCTGTTACTTAATAGTTGATTAATTTATAGTACTAATTACATCCTTTGAATTTTTTATTTGGATAAGATTGGCTTTTTGCAATCCAATATTTAAATTTCATATATTTCAAAAATTTAGCTTCTTTTGAAGTGTACTTGCCTTGTATTTCATTCATTCGTTATTATTTAATATTCAACAATTTGTTTTATGCTTCGTTTAAATTAATAAATAAATATTTAAAATATTTTCAGATGATAGAACTTAAGCCTAACGGTCGAAACATTCCAGTAACTAATTACAACAGATTAGAATACATCCATAGACTTGCTGATTATAAACTTAATACTCAAATTAAAAAACAATGTGCCGCATTCCGAGCAGGATTAAACAGTGTTGTTCCCTTGTTATGGTTGAGATTATTTGACCATTATGAACTTCAAACTATTATTAGTGGAAATAATCAAGAAATTGACGTAAATGATCTCAGGACTCACACTTCTTATGGAGGTAATACAATACTGAATGTTATTCTCAATGAAAATTGCCTTTCTTACTTTTATTTTCAATTTTAAGGTGAATTTACTAAAGATCATCCAACAATTGTTATGTTTTGGAGAATTCTACACAACTTCTCTGATACACAAAAAAGACAATTATTGAAATTTGTAACAAGCTGCTCAAGACCACCACTACTTGGTTTTAAAGTAAGTATCTCAAATCATTTCTAGTCAGTAATGTAATGTAGCACTTGTAATGTATTTTTAGGAACTAAATCCACAATTTTGTATTCAGTCCTCTGAAGAAGATCGAATGCCAACTGCTAGTACATGTTTAAATCTTTTGAAACTTCCAATTATTAGAGATGAAGAAACTTTAACTGCAAAAGTTTTAGCAGCTATTGAACAACAGGCTGGTTTTGAATTATCTTAATTTATTATGTTTTTCAATTTTGTTGACTATAACTTCTCATTTTACTGTTTTATTCAATTGTATAAAAGTTTATTGATTTATTTTTAAATAAAATGATAGTAACTTATAATGTGTACCCTGTTTATCTATAGCACGACATTTAGAGGTTGAATTTCTAGAGCCAACAAAGAAGAGTATAAAGGTATTGTCACTTCTTAGTGCAAACTTGCATCAACTTGCACCTAAAGAAAATTACAATATGGACTATGATAGTGATGAAGAAGATGAAATTATGGAGATTTCAGATGAACCAATTACTTTGCAAGATTACANTTTTGTTGACTATAACTTCTCATTTTACTGTTTTATTCAATTGTATAAAAGTTTATTGATTTATTTTTAAATAAAATGATAGTAACTTATAATGTGTACCCTATTTATCTATAGCACGACATTTAGAGGTTGAATTTAAAAAATCCTTTCCTAGTGCTCGGCTACATTGTACAAGGAACATCTGTGTAAAATTTGAAATATATACCCATGGACAGGGTGTGCGTTAATTAGTTAACAATGTAAACCCAGTAAATAATATATACTCATCTTCTTTAGTATTTCCTGCAATATCCTCAATTTGATGACCATCTTCAATCATGTAAGCACTGGTGGTCTTGTATTATTTGATATTTGAGCTCCTATGGCCTACGCGATGCTTATATTTATATTAAAGCTTATTACTTAATATTATATTGTACTGGACCCCTCTCTTTGCTTTCACAGTACTGTGATAAGTATTAACAGTTTACGGTTAGTCAAAACTTTTAACTTAGGTAAAAGATTGTTCACTGTGTTTGTTTGTAGAAAATCACAATAAATGGCAAACTTTAAACTGGTATTTACTTTTGATAAGTTACTACAGACAATGTACAGCTATTAATTTTTAATAATTTTCTATTATCAACTGTAGCGTAAACGTAAATACTGCCAATATTTTTGCTAGCAAAATTTAAGGGTGAAAGGGTACGTCGGTAAGTCAAACCATTTCAAAAATTATTTTTCGGTTATTATGCTAAAATTATGAAGCAAATTATGATACTTTATCATTACGAAACCTTGGAATAATCAAATATTTAAATTTATGTGCTTTAGTTTATAATATAAATAACACTTAAAGTTAGGTTATAAAAGTTCAGCAGTTCTCAAATGTCGACCCACTGCCCTAGGAAAAAAATTTTAAACGATTTAGAAACAGCGGTCGCGGAAAGTCTGAAAGGAATTATTTTAACCAACCCAAATGTTGTTACATTAAATTTTGGTCAAATATTACTAATTAGAGATTATGCGCACACTAAAAAAGTGATTATTGTTTCTGGTGGAGGTGCCGGTCATGAGCCAATGTATGCTGGTTTTGTTGGAAATGGAATGTTGAGTGCAGCCATTCACGGTAAATAATTTTATATTTATCCTTTAATCATATGCATTAATTCACAAGGACATCTTTTGAAGCGTCATGACTAAATTTCAGTATTAATAAAAGCAAGAAAGTATTTATGTTTTACGATAATTTTGATTACGTGCAAATTTCTTTTTATCAATAACTAGATTTTACCCGCGGCTTCGCTCTCGTTGATGTCCTAGATATGTGTTAAAAATCCTCAACGACTGCATAAAACTAATTTTTTCTATCTCTCGGGAACAGTTTTTTTTACTGGATAAAAGGTACCCATGTGCTTCTCTGTTGAGGTGCAAAAATTGGTATTAAACTTTCATAATAGTCGGTCAAACTGCTTTTTTTGTTTAAACAAAAAGACTGCAAAAAGGTAGATTTTTATACATTCATTGTTCATTAGGTGTTTCTCATTAATTATGAGGGGGATATAAGCCAACGTAATAATGTGTCACGAGAGAGGGAGAGGGTTATTGCTTGAAGCGTAACATTACTCTTTCTGTTTCAAATGAAGTATACCGGAAATACAGAAACAAATGCATACATGCTATATACATATATCATCTTGATTGTACTGTTTCCTTTAATTGGGAGGGATAGCTAATTGCAATTATAAGTGGAGGTTTACTAAAACGAGAGGGTAAACGGTATATGAAATTCGTTCGTCCAATGTAGATATTTTTCTATGAAAACTAGAACGCCATAAGTTGACGTAAGTTGCTTGGGACAAATGCCACAAAAAAAATTTGGATATTCATATTCAGAGATGTGATTTAATTTGAAATACTTGCATTCAAAATGGAAATACAAAATAAAAATACCTATTCTTATCATGCATTTAAATACTCTTTTGATAAAAGCAGTTTGTATTCTATTTCAAATACTTTTCCAAATGTATTTTTTATTTGTAAAATGCAAAATATATTTTTGCCTTTACAATAAGTTTTACTAGTACCGATCAAACATTATATAAACTGATGAATGAAGGTTGCCTACATTGGCTATTGAAGGTATTAGAAGCTTAAAAAGGGAACAGAAAGACATTCTATGAATGCCTACTAATTCATCAACTGAAGAGAGCCCAAAAAATTCTAAACTCCTTGGAAATGGATAATCTAAAATATTAGATCGATATTGTTTTTCGAGTTCAGTGTCATGGTCCATGGAATTTTGAAGTTGCAAATTGTTATCAGCACCTGCCAAATGAGGAAGGAACTACGAAATTCTATGAATTACGACAAAACAGCCCCCAAAACAATATCGAATTGATATACGCCAGTTGTGTAAAACTGAAAACTACAAGATATTGTGGTGTGCTAATAAATGCTATAATCCAAAATTCTTAGAAAACGATTTAAAAAACTTCACTTATTTGATGAACCCATAGCTAAAGAAACTATGGATTCCATTTCTTTCTCTTATTACAATGTGTAAAAGATCGGAAACAAAATGGGATTGTAAATATTTTGATATAAAATGATTTATGTTGATTTTACATCAACAAAATTATTTGCAGCCGTATTTTGACTCTTATCTTTTACCCTAAACAAATTATTTTGGCATCGGTGTCTATTTAAAACGGGTGAACAAAAGGCAAATAAGGAAGAGCATATAGAAGAATTATTTGTTGCTGAACTGAAGAAACTGTAATTTTATATTTATGCAAATGTAGAAAATTACTCAATTAGGTACTACAAAAAATATTTATTTGAAAAAAGTATTTTAAAAATACAAAAGGGAAATCTATTTTGTATTTTACATTTGGAATAACAAATCAAAAAAGGATTTGCATTTTGTATTTAAAAACTTTTAAAAAACCGTTTTGCACATCTCTATTCATATATTTATAGATAGGTAGTGTAGTAAGAAAATATGTGCATAATTTTCCGATCAGGACAATTTTTTTCATATACATATTTAGGAAAAGAGGAATCTTCAGCTGCTAACGGGACTCCTTCGGTTGAATAGATATTTATTTATTTATTGTAGGCGAAATATACACTTCACCACCAGCAAGTGAAATTTTTCGATTATTACAAGAATTATCATTTCATAGCAGTAGAGGCATTCTTTTAATTATTCCAAACTATTCTGGAGAACGTCTACATTTCGCCCTGGCGGTAGAAAGGGCCAAAAATGAAGCGATTCCCGTTAAGATCCTAATAGTGGACGATGATTGTTACCAAGGAAAGCCGTGGAAAGGAAGATGCGGCTTGAGTGGTATTGTTCTGGTGCAAAAAATCGCTGGTGCAATGGCAGAAGCAGATTTAGAATTAACAGAAATATTTCCTTTCTGTGAAAAGGTTGTTAAAAAATTACATTCTATTTCTGTTGTTGTCCAAAAACCTACTCCTGTTCGCGGCAAATGCGTTTGCATTTTCGAAGAACAAAATGTTGTGATAGAATTTGGTGCTAGTTTGAATGGTGAGCCTGGCATAAAAAAAGAACTTGACAGTGCCACGGAAATTTGTCGGTACCTCCTGGACGAAATAACATCTCCACAAGTTGGGAATCCCATTGAATTTAAAGAGGACGAGTCTGTCGTGGTTTTGGTGAATAATTTGGGAACGTCAACGGCTATTGAAGAACTTGTTTTCACGAAGGAATTACTAAGTCAATTGTATGAAAGAAAAGTTAAAATTGATAGGGTTTATAAGGGCAAATTTGTGTCGTCTTTGGATACTGCAGGTTTTTCTGTGACATTTTTAAAAGTGTTTGACAAGCGTGTAATTGAATATTTGGATGCGCCATGCCAAGTTCCAGCTTGGGGAAATCTGAACAATTTTACAATTTCCCCGAAACTTGATCGGGTCATATGCGCGAAAATTAAACCTTCGACCGCTCCCGTTCCTCAAGTGGGACCGAAATTTACGGAAAGTGGTTCCAATACTGTTATGATGGTTCTGCAATTTGCTTGTGACGCTTTATACTCATGCGAAAAACAGCTGAATACAATTGATCATGAAACTGGTGACGGAGACGCAGGAACCAGAATACGAAGGGGAATGGAAGCCATCGATGTTGCCATTAAAACCGAAAAAATTAATTTACTTTATCCCTATACAATGCTCGCCATGTTAAGTAAGATTATCGAAAAGGATTTGGAAGGACCGTTAGGCATGATTTACAGTGTGTTTCTTGAAGCTGGCTCAAACGTGTTTCGAATAACTCCTGATACTGAACCCATTACTCCTAAATTATGGTCAAAAGCTCTCATGGAGGGGGCGTCAGCAGTTAAAAGGTGAGTTTTGTCCTGAAGTACGATTCTTGCACTTTAACGTGGTACAAAAACAATAATTAATATTAAGACACCCATATCAGTATCTGAACGATGACATTCTTTGTAAAACCTGTAAGGGCAGGTCTTTATTTAATAAAAAACACACTTCAGCAGTCGCATTTTCTCACTGGCAGGTGTGGCTCCAATACGTATTCCTTATTGTCCCGATATCCCTTACTTCCACAATAAGAATGACTGAGTTTATAGTACGTTAAAATCACGCCTTATTTTTACAACGATAAAAAGGTCTCTGTAGTGGACGTCTTTTACTTCTACAATATGACAATCAATTAAGAGGTTGCAATAAATATTTATGTGTTCATAATTGTTGCTTTACAAGCCGGATAACCCTCGCTTCGCTAAGAAAAAATTAATTATCATTCAGGAATATTCTCGAACAATCCAGAAAATTCTTAACATTCTCGAACCATTCAGGAAACATCTGTAACATTCGGACCAGACGTTGGAAATCAATTAAAACCTTTATATACTGCCTCTCTGTATATGGAGTTCTCTGGGGCGATAGTCTTTTAATCCTCATATTTTTTAAACCAACCCCTGCATTATGCAATATTATGTTTTTTAAATTGAAATACATTTTTTGCATTATTGAAAAGTCTTTAAAGTGTTCCTGTTCATAACAAAACTATATAAAATTCCCTCTCAACTGTACAAATTGCCGTGTCTAACAAGCCAAAGCCTTGTTCTTTCTCAATTTTTTATTTTTGTTTGGAGGTGTCTTACAACAGAAGCAGGTTGTCGGACAATTTATGATCCACTTTATGTTTGTTCCACCTTATTGGAAAATGGTTTGGATCTAGTAGGAATATCGGCTATGGAAGCAGTGGGAGTTTCCATTTCTGCGGCAGAAGAAGCTGCCCAAAAGACTAAAATGCCGTACGCTAAATATCCAGATCCAGGAGCACATTCAGTCGCAATTTGGATGAGAGCAGTCTTAGAAGGACTCAAATGTAGATGGATTGAAGATTGAGCTATTATCTTATTTACCCTTATCTGTATCATATTATATCGATATGCAATATTTAACTTTATTAAACAATAAAGATGCACGGGCTTATACTTACTTGGTTATTACAGTTTGGTGTCTTCATCATCATCATCATCAGGTCGTCAGTCCTTAGACTGGTTGGACATGTACCTCCACTCTTTCCTATCCTGAGCAAATCTTCGCATTTAACTAAAACTAGAACAACTCAAATCCTTAACTGTCTGCGAACAGTAATCTAATCTTGGTCTACCTCTACCCCTGCTAACTGCCGTTTTTGCCTCTAATATGTCTCTGACTAGACCATCGTGCCTGAGAAGGTGTCCTACTAACCTATCTCGCCTATTTCTTATTGACTTCCGTAGAGTCCTCTGTTCTCTTACTCTTTCTAACACCTCTCCATCCACAGTATCCTCATCATTCGCCTGTAATACCACATTTCGAATGCTTCTAACTTTTTCTTTTCCGCCGCGCCCACTATCCATGTTTCGCACCCGTACAGCGCCGTGCTCCAAACATACACCTTTAACATTTAACATAAAAAGTGACTTCTTTTCATTGAAGGCGCTATCCTCTCCTTTATATCCCTACTACTCCTTCCGTCCTGACTTATCTGACTTCCTAGATACCTGAAATCGACCACTTATTTTAATTTCTCGTCTCCTATCTTTATATTCGCTCTTTCCCTACTTTTTTTTCCCTTGCATACCAGTATTTTTGTTTTACTTTTATTGATTTTTTCACACAGTACTGTTTTGTTAATATCGCTTCCATTTTATTTAAAGCTATCTGTAACTCCTCCTTGCCACATGCTAATACTGCTGTATCATCTGCAAATCTAAGGATACTAATCTTTTGTTCCTGTGTATCTATCTCTACAGTTTTACTGTCTTTAATGATGTTGATCGCGTCTTCGATGTATAGATTAAAAAGTAGTGGTAACAGAATGCATCCCTCTCTGACTCCTTGTTACCGAAAAGTGCTTCGTACAACTACAGTGTCCTGTTTTGGCGTTGGGGTTTGAGCTATTTTGTTTATTCTACAACAACCGCCAAAATTTTTCCAATCTTCATATTTTTAGTGCTACGTGGAACTCTTCTCTCATTATGGAATAACTTAGCTCATCTATCTCCACACTACCTTCCATCTCTAATATATCTCCTAACTCATGGCCTGCGTATAGGTTCTCTAAATATTCTTTCTACCTATCTGCCTAAAATTAGATGTTTTGAAATACCTTATCCAAAAGAATTCAAAACTTAAAATTAGGCTGAAATTCAATGTATGGATAAAAGCCAAATTCAAACTAAAACAATGATCTTCAATAAATATTGAAATAAGCAAAATATTTATATTGCAGTGTATTCTCAATAATATATCAAATGTGACTCAAGGATCGTAGTGGAACATTAATGAGCCTACGATTAATAGCAAATCTCAAGAGATTGCGTGTACTAATTGCCTGTGGTTTATTTCAATTGTTTAATTGTTTAATATCAGTATTAGCTTATTAGAGAGTCTTGTCGGTAACAATTTATCCTATACGTTCTAATATCGTTCTAATATCGTTGATGTTACGCCGCCATCTTTATTGATGTAGATGAGCGTCTAGAATCCAAACAATTTGAACGAATGTGTGTTGTGCGTTTGTCTTTCTTTTGTGTATACCGTAGAGATTTTAATCATTTTTGAGGATTACGCTTACGACTTTTTGTTATTCTTAGTGAAAAGAATAACAACAAATTTCCTGAAACAAATGTCTCTTCCCTATGCACATGCAATATTGCCAGATGGGCAAACTCTTCTGCTTCATTGGCAGTGGGAGATATATTCCGAGAAATTGGAAGTCTTTTAACATTGTTTTCGTATAGAGTTGGAATGCTAGTAAAATTTTTATTATTTTTTCTCAAAATGAAAATATGGCTTAAAGGATCATTTTCCCGGACTATTCTTCCTCAGTTTCGTAATAAACATTCTTATGCTCTTACCGACGATTTATTTTTGTTGAAGTAACGGTAGAAATGGTCCTACCTGATTGTATGATAAGACTGGGTGGTAGAGAAGGGAGGCCTGCCCCCCCTTGGATTTCTGGGGACTAGTTCTTCCTGCTACTACTGCCACGGCCACTATGGTAGCTTCGTACTTGAACGGAGTTAAAGGAAATTTTTATTGAAATACCGGTTTATATAGAGAAAGCGCGTAGTAAAATATTGCGAAAAGATGATTATCACCATAAGGTCGTCAGTCCTAAGACTGGTTGGACACGCAACTCCACTCTTTCCTACCTTGAGCTAATCTTCGCATTTCCCTAAAACTAGAACAACCCACATCCTTAATTTTCTGCGAACAGCAATGTAATCTAGGTTTATCTCTACCCCTCCTAACTCCCGTTTCTGCTTCTAATATGTCTCTGACTAGAGCTTCATGCCTGAGAACCGAATTGGTAACAAAGCAAGTAAAATGACTCATGAATTGCAAGCAGGTAAAAGAAGTCGATGGAAAAATTAACCAATAAATTGAGGCGGTTGGAACCAAATACACGCTCAAACTCTACTCATTGTTAGATATTCATGTAAAACAGCTAAAGCAGAGAACTAGAATTAGAGTTTTTTAGCGACCATAATCTTTTACCAGATCAAGAAGCATAACGAATGTTTATAGATCACAAATGACACACTTTAAACTTATTGGTGTCGTAATTATGGTAACACAAACCGTTGAAATAATGCGTTTTCAGAAAGCAATGTTTTTTATCACAGTATAGATAAGGCGGTTTACATACACATAATTTCTCATTTTTATTAAAACTTCATTTTATCTTCATGGCTCCGTATATACAAAGGTATGTATTTTACATGTACAATACCTATTTCATCTATTTCTGTTATTAATGATTATTTTTAACAAAAAAAAGGTAACCGAAGTATTAATTTATTAAAACAGAACGATGTTTATCTAAGCAATAACTAGTAGATAGAGATTTTATGATATTAAAAATCCCTTATCATTATGATGAGAGCTAATTACACTGTTAAGTGTTATAGATTAGGAATATGTTTCAGTTGATAATACTCTACTTTGTAAAATACCTACCTGTTCAGTGTTCATTGTTTGTTATTTAATTACTTCTATATCATGTTTTACATGTGCAGTGTACAAGTTAATATTCTGGATACTTGAATGTAAATAATAATACCATTATATATGGTATACAAATATGTAAGTATACTTTATTTCAAGTATTTTCCATTCTCACATTTGCTGTAAGAAAATGCGGACGTTTACACTGTGCTTGAAAAAGAAATCATTTTTTCAACAGACTGCGCTATACACTTAGCAAAGATAATTCTCAACGAAATTAAGGAATCAAATATTTGATATCGATGTGAATCAATAGACTATCTATTGCTTTGTATTACAATATTTTTTAGACAAAAATTTCAGTTTTCCCTCAGTTTTTCTTTGAATTTTCAATTATAAGACATTAATGTATGCAAATAATGAAAAATGATAGATATATCTTGCGATTGTTCAGACATTTTAAGATATATATGTCTATATGTATACAAAAAAGTTATTGAATACGACATTGTTATTTGAAATTGTAGACAAAGAAGAAATAAAACACATATACACAAAAATGTTCTGTATCTATAAAATTTAGTAAAGATATTGAACCCTCCTCTTATATAAATCGATCGGTGCACATTTTAATTTTTTTAAATCAGATCCAAATGTTTAAAATAGTGTTACTATACCGGTCACTACAGCTGGGATGAGCAAAGAGCAGACCAATGCTCCGTTCATCCTTTAACACTACATTGGAGGTGGGGAAATCTGTATTCAATGCAGTATAATACTTAATAACGGAGCAACTTTTTAGTTTGCTCGCAACCTACAACGTTATATTGATAGACAAATTTCTATACTGTCGCAAAATGAATTCCGTCGCTGTTTTAGTGGATAGTATAACAAAAGATGAAAGTCGGTTGATTCAATACAGGAACATTTAATGAGATCAAGAATTTAAGAGTAGCAACAACCAAAATTGTGACTAAGTATACCTTTTTAGGTAATTTAAAAAAAGATAAATTTGCAAGGATCATTAACACCTTAATCTAGCCGGTAGCTATCTCAGTAATAAAATTACGTAAACAAACAAATAGTATTTCAAATACACAAAGGGACACTAACTCAAAACCAAATGCAGGACAGAGATAATTGATTACATTAATGATAATGTGAGTGAAGAATCCTGTTGAAATTTTATACTTTGTACTGCGCTTTTTTATGCAGTTTTTAAATGGTGGTGCTACTATACATACATACCCTAATGTTACTGTGTCTTGTTGTGGTACATTTAGTTGTGGCCACTCGCCACTTGATAAAGACCCCTAATAAATGTACCCGCATACCCGAAATCAAGTCAAGATAATGCGGAGGTGCAAAGATGCGTTTCAAAGATCTCAGCATTCTTCGTTCATTAAAATAGAGTGCGAAACGACTGGGCACACAGCTCACTAATGCTCGGCATAAATTATTCAACTTTTCTCGAAAAGTTGAGTTGCTATGAATGCACAGAACATATTTCTAAAAATAAGAAATGTTTCACTAATAATAGCACCATAGTAGCTAATTTATCGGAGTTTTCCATACCTATACAAATCTTTTGTGAACAAAATAACAACCATTACTCATAATTCTGGTTATTTCATGTAGGGGAGACCGGGGCAAAATGGGATACTTACGAAAGAAATCATCATATAAAAAAAATTAAATTGTTTAATGGAATAACTTTTATTCAGATGGCAACATTATACATCAACTTTAGATATTCAAAACATTCTATACGATAAATCACTTAATTTTCGCATAATGATGAACAACAAACAATTTCTAATTTTGTCCCGACCACTGGGCAAAATGAGAAATGGCACGGGGTAAAAAGAGCATCTATTTTAATCAGACTGGGAGCGTTCACAAAAATACGCAAAATTGTCGTGCTCATCAACTCCAACACAGGAATTATATTACGATCCCAATTATGGCACATGCTATAACATAGTAAAATTCCCATCCTTTGGTCGACTGCGAATAAGTTCGAACAGTAACTACAAGCGCAATACCCAGCACCATCCAGATTCCAATGATAATTTTATTTCACTGATGCTCTTTCACTTCTCTTCATTTCGTCCGTCTCATCTTTCTCACCCCAACCGCCACCCACTTACCCATTCTCATGATTCTTAAAAGGGGGCTGAAGAGGACCTTCCGCTCTACTCGCTGGAGTAGTCCGTAGGGACTGCCTGCCCAATAGAATTAGCAACTGGTGTGAATGACTCATCCAAGTGTTTTTCAAGCGCACTTTATTTCTTGGGCTTCTTAATATTTTTCTATCCAGACTGAGTATCTTGTTAGGCCCCGACAATTTTGCCCCAACAAACATATTTTGAACTTACACCAAGTACTTCTAACATAAAAAACATACTGCAAAAATATTTAGTTACTTGCCTGATAACACGTCAACATTTGTCACAAAACTTCACAGTTCAGCCAAAAAAAATACCGCTGACTCAGTTGACTCATGTGGAGCGAATTAAGTTCGTCCGAATAGCCCTGTCGGGGTCACATATGCGCATAGCATAGCATTACGTACATTAGGGCTCATCTCGTCTTGCCCGAACCTCGTTTTGCCCCAGTCTCCCCTAGTTTTTTCTTGTGATTTGTTCTTTAGCCCGAAATTGTAATTTTTTACAAAACAAGTACAGACTTGAGAGTTATATTAGTATTAGTAAAAAGATCGTCGTAACAACTAAGTATATAAAATAATATATTCTTATATACAAAATCTCTACGAAATGGCACTGGTATAATTAATAAATAATTAAAGGGACATCCACTTTATAAAGAAAGATATTAAATTAAAATTACAGTAACTCTAAGACCAATGGTTGTCAGACACGTAAAAAATACTTATGTGAAATATGTACTTTTTTGTAGTGTATAGAAGATTTAAAAATGATCAAATTTTCTAAAAAATTTAGCAAGAATGAGATTATCAAAATTAAGTTAGGGAGGTATGAAAATAGGCCTTCATATTAACATTTTGCACAAATTTATAATAAAGTTAGACCGCTGATTAAGAAACATACATACTTATATGAAACTGTTTTAATTATATCTATTAATCATGTATATAGGAATGAATTTAATTCAGAGTTGGTATGCTGTGTGTCAATGTATTTACGTTCAAACGTTCATGTTACAATAAATATATTGATAAAAGTATATTCAGTAAATAATAGTAGCAATAATAATTTAATCTATTATTTTATTAAATCAATAAAACTGACCATTTCTTCTGTTTCTTAGCTTGTTTTCTACAATATTCAGTTCCAGTTATTCCAGTAAAAACTCTAACGAATAAAATAAATAAATTCGAATGAATGGCTTAGTAGAAAACTTTGTAACAATAGTGATCGATTTTAATTATCAATGATAAAAATTAGTTAATTAGATATTTACACAATATTTATAAAAAGAAAAGTAATCTCAAACGATTCAATTGTGAATTAATGAATTTAATGTTCATCCACGTAGGACTTTACATAAAAAAAAAACTGAAAATCCCTTTACAAAGTATATCTAATTATTTGTAACGGTAGTACCTATCTGCAATTATTCTCCAAACCAATAATTACTTTTGCTGTTTCACTTTATAAAACCGGACGCAAATATAAACGTTTCATTCATAGATTTATTGTGGCAATGAAAATGGAAACGTAGTTTCTGTGAACCCCATATAGGTAGGTACATATGTATTTCTGCTATAGCCAAAGTAAAATCATCTAATACCTTTATTAATTGACGAGTGTTATTCAAGGTAAGTCCTTGACATTTTGTATTGATTGTTTACCGCATGCTAGATGTTACATACATAAAAATATAAATTAAAAGAATCTAGAAACCTGACTGTGTAAAAAAAACGGACTAAAAAGATGGTGCAAGAACATAGTACGTAGAATGTATCATACAATGTTTTTTTAGTATCCGTCTGGGGTCTGACAATTAAAAGATGATACATAAGGTCATAAAATCTGTAAAAAATCATCCATTCAAACATGATAAATAATGGCAATCGGAGGTATTCGGATATTCGATTCATGTTTTACTTTTACTACTCCTTCTGCAATAAATTATTATTTATCAGACATTTGATTGGATTATTTTTTATTGATTCCACTTCCACGACTTATCACTCACTTTTTGATTGGCAGACTCAAGATGAATAATAACAAATTACCATTTTAATTTAAGGAAAAAGGATTTAAATGTACATTATAATATGTTCCTTTACGTTATCTTGGTTCCATCTTTCTAGTTCGCTTGATTTTTTTAATTTAAATTCTCATTAACTACTTTTTAGTTTTGTTTTATCAATATTTTGTTAGTTCCTGGCTATAAATACCGATTTGTGGCCTATTCCTGTAGATGTCCAAGTAGATTTATTTAATTGTAAGTTCATATCTAAGAAATATGTAGAGATCTTACCTACCTTCCAGGTTGTGTAATTCTTAAACGGAACTTATGGCTGTAGAATAGTCTAGGAAAGAGGAAATATCAACTTAATTTAGAAAGACCTATTAAGTGATACTACTCAGTATATTCACACAACTTTTTTTCGTTTCTACCGCCATTTTATATTTTACGGTTGCCATTTTACTACTGCGAAAATAAATGTAGCCTATGAGACGTAAATCGATAGACTTCTCATTGATTTTAAAATCAGTTGAGCCGTTGGGATGCTTCCAGCATTGGTGTAAGGAATCCAATCCAGATATGCGTGAAAAAAATAACCCTGGTCTTTGGGTAATAAATCAAAGTGTTAGTGAGCTCTTTGGGCTGAGGGGTGGGGCGAGGTGAATTCTTTGAAGGAATTGTGCAATATTTTAAAACAACAAGTTAAAGGATTTTTGTATCATTGTTGTAGTCAAAACAAACGATAAAATTTCATTGCTTTTTCAGTGTATACAAGTATACATGTCTATCTATATTATAAACAGACGACTGTTATTACACATATTTACCATCTATATAGCACTGTAAGCATTGATGTAGGTGTAATGATTATCAGCATGTACAGCACCAGATCAGCTAAAAATAAAAGGCGTCCAATGCCTTTTTGGTAAACCCCGAAAAACATTCTAACGATTCAAATG